TCAGGGTCTTAAAATAATTGAGAAGAATATGCTACCTTTCTATAACATCAAGAACTGGTTAGATATTCTAGTCTTCTGAGATAGGGACAAATAAATGGAGGTCCCGTCTCCTGCAGGGTTAGGGGCAGGAGACGTTAATTTCCCATACATGAGATTACTATTTGATGGATGTCCTTCTCCGGGGTGGGATGGGTGGGTTGGGTTTAGGTGGATGCATCTAGTAGGGGACTACGTGTCCTATTGTTCTTCCACCTGTACAATGTACAAATCTTTAGAAAGGCCTGATGTTGTATTGATATTGTAAGGAGAAATTCTGTCTTGGTCACTCCTGAGAGTTAAAAGAGTTAAGTTACTTTAATTTTTTTCAATAGCAATTCATTGTCCATAAAACTTTTAAAGCATTAATATTCTATCCTATATTTACTGCTGAAAGAGGAACTTAGGAATGTGACAATCCTTGGCTTTGACTACTGCAGAAGCTCTTCAGATTCCAGATATTGAATGTAACATTTTTTATCTGTTGTGAAGAGAATTAGCAATGCTGGATATTCCCTAGTGCACAATTTCATGGACACTGATACCAGAGCTATTTCTTCTTTCTTTGCATGTGGATGGAAACCTGTGATCATTGAGCACCAAGACTTGCGTTGAGTGAGAGGCCAAAGATAATTGAGAAATTAGCTATTACTACAGTTGTAACATATTTCATTTTAACAATTTGTTTATATATAAATCCCTTATTTTTTCTTGAAACCACTTAGGAATGCCTTTCGTAATGGGCTCATTCAAGGTGACAAGTTGGTTGTTTACCCTATTCTTCAATGGCTCTTCGAAAATCTGGCAGAATTGAAGACCAGAGCTTATCTTTCAAGATATCTGGTGAAGCTAGATATTCCTCCAGACCAACTGGCGGATCAAGAGTTAAATGAACTAAATGAGAATGTAAATATTCATCTAATTTTTCAGTTAGCAAAAGTAAACATCTCCCCACCTAGAGGGTGAATCAAAAATAAATATGGATTGTTTGCTCATAGCTATGTGTAGTGTCAGTAAAGTAAAATGATCCACTAAATATCCACCAACCAGCTGATTCCAGTTCTGCACCTCTTTCAATGTGTGCACACACTTTTTCTGTTCCATTGTTCCTTCTAAACTCTGTAGCACTTAGGTTTTGGATAAAGAACAATTTTTATGGTATTTGGGTTGATTATACTAAGTGATATTCGTTTGTATTGGAATCTTTTCTAAATGTGTTTTATTGATATCAGTATTTAGAACTGATGGAACAGTTCAAAGAGCTCCACAAGACAGTTGATCAACTTAGGACGTCTGGTCTTTCAACTGGGGAGATGAAAAAGGTCGGTACACTACAAGAACTTTGGTTTTTAAACCTTGACCCCCCTGACATCAGTATTGATATTCTCCATACAGTTCTCTATACATTTCTTAAACTGCTAACAAGGAGAATTTGTGTCACATTAAAGAGCTTCTTAAGTTGGTGATCATTCCCTATATTCTTGTGACGGTAATGTTTTATGCAAGGATGATATTGCAAGGAGAAATTAGATACTAGTCATTCCTATGAGCTCTTTGTCTTCATTACCTTCATTATATATCATTATCATTGTTATTGTTATCATCACCATGCCTCATGATTATAGTTGTTGTCTTCATTGTCATTATTAGTGGTTTGCACTGTTAAATGTCATTTTTTTTTCTTCTTAAAGGACATTATGAACATGGAAGATGAAAAAGAACAACTTCAGAAGAGAATTGACCGAATGCAAAAAAAGGTAATAAATGAAACAAGTAACACAACTGACTGTAGTTTTTATCATTTAACTGTGCTGTATTAACATTATCAGTTGGAAAGGTGCTTAGAAAATCACTTATCACTCTCCTTTTAGAAAACTGGCCTGTTTCATTTGTAAATTCCTTTTTGTAAGGGAAGTTTTAACACAAGGCTCATCTAATTTTAGGTGGGGAATGTGCGGAACTATGACAAAATGTTACTAGCTGCACGGAATTTGCGAGTTGAGAGAGAAAAGGAACACTCACTTGGTCAACAAAAGTTGGAGCAGAAAAACCAGGTAAATGGTTGCCTAATGAAAAAAAATCACTTTAAAATATTGGATTATAAATGTGTGCCGTGCATGTTTCAAGCCTTATATTGAGTTATTGCTAATATTCTTTCAATTTGAAGAAGTTATTTCAGACACATGGCATGTGGTGCATGTTATGAACTATTTGACAGTGATTATGGGTGATAAGTACTAACAGGGGGGTGTCACTTTTGTCACTTGTATATGATCTCAATGGGAGAGTCTAATTTTATCATGTTTTGGAACACTGAACAGTATCTGCACTCAGACCAACGTTATCAGCGAATGCTGCAACAGTTAAAAGACATGAGGACCCAAGGTGTTGGCACAACTGGAGCAGGTATTAAACATCTTGAACCTCTTCTCGGTTCACGTGCATCTCCGCCAATGTAATCTATTGCATAACTTGCACTTATTGCAAAAAGATATACACCGGCGAAACAGGCAGAATACTAGGTGACAGATTCCGAGAACACCTTCGAGACGTCGAAAGGAATGACAAGGACACATTGAAACCCTAGACATTTTAATTTACCTAATCAATCTAAGCAACATATGGCAATCTGCGGTCTTTCCTTACACTTAGGTAGCATGGAAAGCCATAAAAATCCTGAACAAAAGCTCATCTTTCAAACCGGCAGTCTAAATCCCACAGGGATCAACGAACGCTTTTCGTTCCACTAATTTATTCTTGTTTTTCTCGTTGCCATGTTCCCACCAATAACGTAGCTCCATTTTCTGCCTTTAAAAGCACACACAACCCACAGTTCCTCTATTCGCTCCGATGAAGGGCTAACGCTTGAAACGTCAGCTTTTGTAATTGTTACGGTGGCCAATTTACCACTTCAACTTTGTTGATATATCCAAATTAAATCTTCTCAGTTTTGATTGGAGATATATCCATCTTCCATTACCAAATGATATGGGAAGCTTAGATATTTGTTGAATTTTGTATCTGAGAGGCCTTAAGTTTTCATGTTTTTATGAATAATATCATGGAATTAACAATAATGATTCAGAAGTATTTCTTCACCTGTGGATGAGTTTTAGCTCAGTTTCTTGATGGATTTTTATGATTCCTTTACACTTAAACTTAACTTACAGATCTGATTAAGAGACTAGAAGAAGAGAACAAAGTGAATGTTTATCTCTGCCAAGAAAAACTGCCAAAGGTAATTTTCAGCTATAGATTCTGGTATAAGAAAACATTGTAACTGTTTTTAGTCTATTGTTTGTAATTTTGTGATATGAGGTAAAGTCGTCAAAGCTTTTACTTCAGTTTGTTTCAGACTGATTTAGGATTTCTCTTATTTGAACCACAAGGAACTGGAAGGAAAGAAGAAATATGCACAGGATCTTCAGAAAGTGGCAGATGAACCAGCCATGGGTCAGTCAGATTTGGATGACCTCAACAAAAGGGTCAGAGGAAAATGATGTGTTTGTTTTTGTACTTTAGATAAAAGAGAATTTCATCATTTTTTTTAAGGGTTATTACTATTATTAACTTGTCAAGTGTGAAAAAATATGTTTAATGTTGTGTCTGAGTGTGTTTTTTTTAATTTTCATTAGATCAAACAACTCTCAGCAGAAATCAACTCACTAATTGAGAAGAGAATGGTGCGGAATGATCCTATTGATGACAAGTTGTCTCTCTTCAGGCAGCAAGTAAGTTGTTTCTTCTGAAAAACCCTGCTAACTTTCATTTATTTCAAAGCCATTATGAGTTGGTTAAGTGTCATGGATTCAGAGGAAAATTGGACAAAATTTACTTCATCATCTCTTTTGGGTAACAAAAATATATATATGTAACCAAATGCAACTTCAATTTCCTTTGAAAAATTTGTAATTTATCAGTTAATTGCTGTACCAGTGTCAAAGCTGAGAAATACTGCACTGAGTATTTTGTACAGCTATATGGATCCTGAAATTTATGAGATCCCTTTTTTTCCTCAAGGCTTCAATCATTGGACGAAAGAAGGAGGCTGTTGCTGAAAAGCTCCAAGAAGCCATGGATGAGGTGAGAGTCTTGAATTGATACCTTATAACATGATAGTCAACAACTTATCACTGTCTTATCCCAACCTTTTTTTGTTTGATTTTAGCTGAGTAATGCAGAAAGTGATTTGCAGAAGAAGAAAGAATTATTGAAAGAAAGTGAAGGATCAGAAGTGCTTAAAGGAGATGAGGTTAGGGACAAGACTAGAGGATTTTGGGTAAAGAGAGAGGGAAGGGGACTGGATGTGAACAAGGAGGGAACTGGAAAAGCGGGGTGAGGCGATGGAAGGAGAGAGGGAATGGGGAAGAGGATAATGAGGAAGAGCTGCTATGAGCACAGGTGGGGAATGGGGAGAAGGAATCAGTATGGACTAGAGGAAGAAGGGTAGAAAGGGGTAGGTAATGGGGAGAGAAAGTAAGAGAGGTTAAGGAAGGGAAATAACGAGGTTTAAGGGATAAAGAGGGAAGGAGTTGGGAGGGGTAATGAGGATGGATGAGGGAAGCAGGGGGTAGGAGGGAACAGGGAATAGGAAGGGAAGGGAAGAAGGGGTTACAGAGGGAGAATGTAGAGGGTGATGGAATAAGGAGGGAGTTGAGAGGGGTAATGAGGATGGATCAGAGAATGGGAGGGGGTAGGAGGGGACAGGGAACAGAGGGGGAAAGGAAAAGGGGAGTAACAGGGTTAATGGAGAGGGTGAGGGAGTAGCAAATGGAGGGAGAATGAATTGTCAAACCATTTTAGATGACCAAGGAAAAGGAGGCTGAAAATGGACCACAGTTATCATCCTCTTTATGCAGTGACTGTCATAAGGAAATTATGTTTGAAATATGAGATGTGCTTTCTTTTTGTAGTTCAAAAGATATGTGAACAAGCTGAGGGGTAAAAGCACAGTCTATAAAAAGAAAAGACAAGAGGTATACATGAAATCTAATCTCTGTGTTCATTCTGAACTTCTTGGAGCATTACAGATTTGGATTGCACAGACAGGGCTTGACACTAACAGTAGCCATAGCCACAGACTAGTAGAAATTTAGTTTTGGCCAGTGGTTTTCGATTTCCACTAGCCAGTTTGGCTAGTAAACAAACTGAAATTGTTGTAACATTTAAGATGTTACTAGTCACTTGGCTAGTAAGTTGAAAAGTTAGTGTTGAGCCCCTGACAGAGTTAATATTTTCTTAAAAAAAAATTTTTTTATCTGTTAAATTTCCAGTTGGCAGAACTTCGTGCAGAGTATGGGGTGTTGGCCAGGACCGAAGAAATACTGAAAGGGAAAGATGAGTCATTTCAACATCAACTGGTGGGTATTTCTACTTCAGACTACTTAATTTAGACCAACTTAAGCATTTTTCTAAGAACAGAATTATGTTACTGGGTCAGATAGTGATCCAATCTTAAATTGTTATCAAATCATTATATGGCCTCCAGAAATAAATTTTAGAAAATAAAGTTTAAAAAATACACTTTGTGGAATATGACATTATGGCCAAACTGCATTGCTTGTCTTCACTAAGAGGGGGATCCAGGTGATGCGCGAGTGCTAACACACTTGTGCTACACAAGAGAATCTTAAGTATTCTCTCTTGGAAAAGAGCCTTTGAAAGTGCAAACTAGTACTCGTTATAGAGTTTTTGTTTTTGTTTTTGTCTCATCCTTAGTCTAATTTAGAGACCAAGGAGGGTGTGACAGGTTTCCATGAGACTCAAGAGGAATTAGAAAAAGTTTCCGCCAAGAAAAGTGAACTGGATGAACAGAAAGGAAAAACACTGGAGGACATATCTGAACTGGTGAGGACACTAAAGTCATAGGACTGTGCCTCTGTTAACAGCTGAGATATTAGCTGAATAGAAAATGAACTTTTCCATTTTAGGGTGGAATGTAGATATATCTGTTTTCTTAAGTTACAAGTTTTGCCATCCACTGTTGATTAAAAAGTTATGAATCTTAATCTATACTCAGCGAGTTGAAACTCGACGTATGAGTGAATAGTAAAGATGATGAAAGGGCAAGAAACCTTGTGTTTGGAACTGGTTTTAATCCATCTTGTATCTTATGTCAAATTCCAAACGTTGATCTTGATTAAAATTTTAAAGGTGCAATTCACGTGCAGTAGTTTTCTTTAACGATCTGCTTTCTCTTGAAATTCAAGAGCACTGCTTTAAAAGATCTCAAAGTACGCGATTCACTTATGTCGGTTTTTTTTTTTCTTCTCAGGTTCGACAGTTAAATGCCACAATTGCAGACAAGAAGAGTGCTCTGGCTCCAGTTATTAAAGAATTGAGACCCATGAGGCAGAAATGTCAGGTAATGAGTGATCAATGTCTTAATTCTCGTAACAATCGCAGACGTCTTACTATATTTTTGAGATTTATTTATTGTTTATGGATAGGAAATGACCGGCGAATACGAAGAGAAGAAGGCAGCTTATGAGAATTTAGCAGCAGGACTGGAAAGCAACCTGTCTAAACTTGAGCATGTACGTTTATTGTCTTTATTCCTCTCTTCTTCGTTTTAGCGAGAGGCGCAATGGCCTCATGGTTAGCGCGCTTGACTTAGCATTCAGTGGTCTGGGTTCGAGCCCCGACCGGGAACATTGAGTTGTGTTCTTTGATAAGACACTTTAAATTTAAAATTTACTCTCACGGTGCTTCTCTTCACCCAGGTGTTTAAATGGTAGCGGAAAATTTAATGCTGGGGGATAACCCTGCGATAGAGTAGCACCCCATGGCGGGGGGGGGGGGGAGGGGAAAGAGAAGAAATACTCCTAGTCGCCCCATGCTACAGAAACCGGAGTTAAGCGCCGGCCTGATGGGCCACTTGGCCCATAAACAGAATTTATCGGCTAACATCTTTACCGGTTTGTATATTTTGTGTTGTAAATTCTACTGTGTAAAGAGTTGATTTTTTTCTGCGTCATTAGGAAGTGAGAGCCCTACGCGAGGAACTGACTCATGAGGAAGGACGATATCATTATTTACATTGCATGCTGAAGGTTTGTCCCAGTTTGTTGATCGTTGATTACTGCCTTCTCATCAGTTGGGCGAGGGACGCTCGAAAGCTGCATCAATTTTAACTTGGTTTGAGAAGAGAGGACAGACCGTTGGATTGTGGATAGCTATGTCAGTGGTTGTGCAAGTTTTTCACATTTAGATTATTTGCAAAAGTACTTGTTTACTGCATCGTAAGGCATCTCTTCGTGTTGCAAGATTTTTTTTCTTGAAAAGCTTAGTAGGGAGACTTTTCGTTCACCTTTACAACGACATCTTTTAAAAGCTAGAGTTGTTCAGTGCACCTCTATATCAACTGTAAGCTCCATGACAGCTAACATTTGTAATGGATACGGAACTTTTATCCTGCAAGCACTGCGTGACCAGTGGAATAGTAGCGGTAACGGAGAGTGAAGTGACTTGATATCCTCCTATCTCCTTGTTTAAGTGTGTTATTCTGTAATTTTCAGGTGCTTGACGTACAACAGAAGCGAATTGATGACGAACTTAAGGCTTACCGTTCAGCGGATACTGCTGATCGCAAGAAATCTTTCAGGTAAGAATTTAATCTTCATTTTTCGTGCAAGGTTTGCTGCAACCCTGACAGATAACGCGTGACAGTGTGGTAAACTACCTTGTTATCAGTACTCATTTACATGACAGATAACGCGTCACAGATAACGCGTCACAGATAACGCGTCACATTGCGACAGATAACGCGTGACAGTGCGGTAAACTACCTTGTTATCAGTACTCATTTACATGGCTTTTCAAAGAGTTTACATTCAGTGATGCACTGAGAAAAACATTGTAATTAGTATATCGCGCTACAGTTGTTAGGATCTCGTTAAGTTCATTTTCTGTTTCCTTCTGTTTGTAGGGAGCAGTTCACTAAGAAGATTCAGGAGCAAGAAAACTTGGGAAAGGTATTGATCAAAACGAGAAGCTATTATTTTAGAGGTTTTCTTTGTCTATGTTAAGTTAACGCTTCCGCATCATTTCGCCTTTTCGTTTTTCAGAGTCTTCGTGATAAACAGAAGTCTGTCCGAGAGAGCCAGGGACCGAATATGAAACAGATGAAGATGTGGAGTGTAAGTGCTTTTCTTTTATCCCAGCAGAGTTACGGTGGAGTTAAGACTTCCTCCTCCCCCCCCCCCCTTTTTGCCATACAGAAATGTTAAGTCCCATTATTGGCTCAAAGCCGCATTGCCAAAGTATTTCAACTTCACATCTTTCGCTAAGGTAACATAGTTGTTCAGTATAACGAGCGAACTGCTCTTGGAGCAGTATCCAGTCGTTTCGTACCCATGGATCTTTCGCACCCAGACGATTCGTACCCAGGCTCAGACATCTCGTACCCACTTTCGGTCAGTTCGTACCCAACCCTCTAGTCGATTCGTACCCAACAAATATTGAGATGCATCCTCGCACGCGCAGGGTATAAGTGGAAGTGTGATCTTATTTGTTGTATTGTTGAACTTTACTTAACAGTAAAAGTGTCAGTGGTCCGCGTAAGGCGCTCCGTGATAATGGGCAAAATATATTAGGATAAGTCAGCTAGGGGAACTAGGTCACGATTTTTCAAGAGTAAGATAACTTTTCAACGTTACTATGATTTAGAAATTAGCTTTTTTACTGAGTAGAATAGGTACGTTTAGTCGTAGGCACTGCGTAGTTGTAGGCAAAATATATTAGGATGGGTCAACTAGGTCGCGATTTTTCAAGAGTATTAACTGAAAGATAACTTTTCAAAATTTCTGTGATTCGAAATTAGTTTTTTTGCGATTACTAGGGTAAATGAAATAAATGTTTGTGTTTGTTTGTAACATTTTGTGCCATAATTTGTTGGGTACGAATCAACCAGAGTGTTGGGTGCGAGTCATCTGGGTATGAAAGATCCATGGATGCGAAACGACTGGTAAGCCTTGGAGCTAGTGGCTCAGTCGGTGAGAGAGGCATATAAAACAGAGTCGAGAGGACTTGGTTTGGTTGCCGGGCCATTTACCTATGGTCATCTGACAAACGTTCTGAATACTACTAGCTAAGACTAAATGTTTTGTTTCCTTAACCTCTTCTGTTAGGACCTTGCAAAGCTATTGGAGTGCAAGCGAAATTGTATGTTAAAAGAACAGCAGGAAAATCAGAGTGGCGGCGTAAACCAGCAGGGCCTGGATGGAGAAAACGTGTTAGTTCTTTAAAAGGCAAAGAAGTTTGGCCGCTCCTCGCTTTTCCTCACAGGAAGAAAAACTTCGTTTATTGTTTTCTTTAACACCATTTCTCTTTCCAGAAGTCAACCTGTAAATTTGAGATTGTAAACTTATCCGTCATTTCACATGTGTTGGGGATGGGGGGGGGAAGGGGGGGTATTAGACAAAGTTTTGGTCGGATCTGCCCCGCCTGAGTTCCGCTGCTCTTTTATCCTCAAATTACCTTCGGGATTTATACACTATAGAGGAACAACACCACTTCTCTTTAGAATCCTTATACATGTGGTACATGCGGTACTAATTTATAACAGAAAAGAAAAGCAAAGTTTTAGTTGTTAAATCATGACTTTTCTCTTGAACAACCTGCACAAGTACTTCCTCCATCTTCTGGTAGACCCTTCAAACTTCCGAACACTGCATTGTGATATACCAAATCTTTGTCTTGTGTTACGTGTAGAAAGTTACCCCTTTCAGGCGGGACATTCTGTATGGTCCATCACTTAAAGAAAAAAATCGATTCCCTTCCCACATAGCAAGTATATGAAGTCGCATAGCATACCGTATTTCCTCGAATAAGCGCCCACAGTCTAATAAGCGCTCACTCCTTAAGCTGTAATTTCAAACAAGTGCCCCACCCCCTCGAATAAGCGCTGTCTCCTCCACTTCTTAAATTGTCGGGACACAAAGAGAGCCTGTTGCTATTGCTACTTTATTTATAACTATTTCAGCCTCAACTATGAGGGAACCAGTACTGAGGAATAATAACCGCCCCCTTCGATTAAGTGCCCTCCATGCAAAAAGTGCCCCAATTTTAAATAAGTGGCAGGGCGCTTTTTTGAGTAAAAACGGTATACATGAAGTTATTTAACGATGTAGAAAAATAAAACAACATTCACCAAAATGGAGTCCAGTTATCTAGCAATTTGTAAATATGTTTGCTTTCCTTTTCCAATTTGTAGGCCAGTCAGGAATGTTTCATGTTAATATAATACGGTGAAATTACTTGTCACTGAAAACATGGAGATAGAGTTGTATCCCAGTGTGGACTTAAATCATAAACGACGTTAAGAAAAAGAAATGAAAGAAACTGGGCACTAGATGGGGATAAAACAGATGGAGAAGCTCTGAGAACTCTTAGTGATCAAAAATGAGCATTTTTAATTTGGCGACCATATATTTCTTTATGACCTACTCTCTTTGTACATCTTTAACTGAAACACAACACTCGCGCACTCATTTATGTCTTGTCATTTAACATTTAAATTGTGATGATAATCGCATAATGGCCTGTGTACGGTTACTTTATATTAGTCGGCCATGTTTGCTCTATCTTTGTAGGCGCGATCTGTCCGCGTCTTGATCTAATCGCATCGCGCTCTTTCTAGGGTGATCGTGTTAACACTCTCGTCATCTTTCTTGAACAAAAACTGTTTCTTGCGGGAAAAGTCCCGCAGCTTTAAGAGTCGTCCCGAAATCCAGGCTGGACAGTTTCCTCCGTGGAAAGTTGGTGACGAGTTCGTAGCGTTCATTGGGGAAACCCTCTTTCTCTACCAACAAGACGAGATCCTGTAAAACATCAACGAAGAATATTGAAATTAAAACTTCTCCGAGAAACTTTCGCATCGATCTCCCTTAGCGATGGCATACGACACGATTAAAGGGGAACTTAAATCGCACAGATTGTAAGAATGCACCAACAAAATTACGGGTAACCAGTTGAAATGAAAGGAAAGCATCCGTTTTTCTGGCTAGTTTTGAAAAAAAAAACTGTAAATTTCGTCTTTGTTCAGACCTCACCTTTAAAGATGACTCGGCACTCAGAGAAATGTGGGTACGAGAGCCATTCGGAAAACGGACCATAATATTACACAGAGGTCCTGAAATGAAAGATACAGAGCGGAAGTCAATAACTGAATGACGGACAGATTTGTTTAGCTACCACGAGAGCACAAATTGGACGCAAATTGACTTGATAAACTGTTTTCCACCTCTGGTGCAAAAGGCGTCTGGATTTTTTGGTCGCGGATAGAATGCGATCCGGTCTCGATCACGAAGCGTTGGTGCTCAGAAAGACTCGATGAACATGCATCTGCCATTTCCATTTCTTCTTTGACATCCTTTCTGAACGGAATTAGTACCCAATAATTGCGCGTCTTTGTGAAATCTTCGCGTTTAACATTGAAAAACCTTTTACCTACGTATAAATATCTCCCATTTCTTTTCTTTAACAATCCTTCACCTGAATGAACGGATAACTGAATTAATCAATGTCTGCTTTTTTTGGGCGCACCAAGTGCTAAATTCTCAACACCAACAGGACACAAAAACGTAGGAACATTTGTAAGGAGATTTAAATTCTCTATTGATCAGTGTCTCTCACCTGCCTGTTCTTGTGTTCTTAGGTTTGAAGAGTTGTCTGTTTCTTTAGCATTAGATTCAGTTTGCCGAACCTCTTCTCTTTTCTCCAAATTATTTTGCGCATTTTCTTGAATTCCTGTGCAATTTTTCTTCTTCGCTGAATCATTATTTTTCAAGTGTTCACTTTCTAGCAATTTCTTCCCATTGTTACAAGTTCCTTCACTGTTATCAGAAGGCTCATTAAAGTTTATTCCTCTTTTCACTTCCTTTTTATGAACAGCACTTGAATTGTTTACATTCTTTGCTGGTGTTTTGTGTTCCTCGTCAGAATCTGAACCACTAAATTCCAAGTCCTGAAAGTCCTCCTCATCATCACCATCATCACTATTTTGGTCATTTTTGGTTTCAAATTTGGTGCACTGTAATGACGCTGCTATGGCAGCACGAAGCTGAGAATCTTCAGAGGCATCTACAATAGATTCCTACAGGCAAGAAAAAATATAAAATAAATTGGTACAAGCTGTGACAGAGTAGCCCAGGCACTGACTTTATCTCTCATCTGGATGGGATGTTTGTCTGTCCCTAGCAGTGCTCCAGTAATATATATTGAGTGTCCCTGAAGATTTCCCTAATTTGGGTGGAGAAAGACACTGTGAAAGTATAAAAGAGGTCAATTCAGTGTTAATTCCACGTTTTATTCAATTAGCTTAACGGCCTGCTCCCAGTTGGCTTGTTAGCTCAATTGGTAGAGCGCTGCACTAGTATCGCAGAGGTCAGTGGTTCGAATCCCATACAGGCCTGATTTTTTTCAGGTCTGATTTTTGCTATTGCATAAATAGCGCTATCTACTGCGAAGGATCGTGCATCATACGTATTTAATACCGCAGTTCAAAATATATGAACTTCATATATTCATTGTATCTTGATCAACTATGCTCAACACACTGTTTGAATACAATTATACCACATGAGAAATCCTTGTAAACATGAAAGTGTCCTTGGCCATTACCTTGAAAATTGCTACGATATCTGCAATGATTTTGTAATGTTCTATTCATTATTATAATGACTCAACCATGGCTTGAGACCCAACCATTTTATCAGGAGTCCAGCATGATAAATTTTCAGTCTCCCATAGATGAAAAAACAAGCAAACAATCAAAAAACAAACAAAAAACAAAAACACCTACAACCACAAAAGCTACCAGATATGAATGAACTAAATAAAATTGAGACAAAAATAACCCCACTCAATGAAAAAATATCTTTAATAGAGCAAAAATGTGACTTACACTTCTTCTTTTCTTGGCTGGAGGGGTATCTCCTTCAAGTGACGGATGTTCTAAAAGAAATTCTGCTGCTGCATGATGTAAATGGAAGAGAATGAAAAAAAATGGCTGAAAAATTTCTTTAAGACTTAATATTGGCAAACAGCAACAACATGTTGTTTATTTGCTTAATTTTCTTTTTATCCTTCAACATGATTGCTATAATTTGAAGGTGGATCACAATACACTTATTTGTAAAGGATGCAAACATTTTAATTTCATTACACAACAGACACAAGTCAATGGAGGAAAATTCAGTTAATTGCAGTTTGGTGCAAACATAAAACTTCAATTCTCTGAGCAACAAAAGTCAAAGTGTGACATTTTGGCTGCACTATTGTAGTTGATATCCTATGGAATAAATACAGTACTTCAATGCAAACTAAAAGAAATACATACCACATTCACAAAATGCTTGGGCATCCATGTAACCCCACTCTACCAGTTTCTCTCCTAAAAGAAAATGGTTTCATTAGAAAATAAACTTTAACATCTTGGGTAAGAATGTATGGTTAATATTCCAAGGGAATAACTTAATTAGCCCCAGGACTCCACGCCATTACTGGCTTGTCATTGACTGACGTGTCAGTGTAATATGATCATTTTGTTTTGATTGTTTGTTCGTTGGAGTTGTTTTGTTCACCCTCCCTCCCCTCGACCCTCCCCCCCTTGGGGTCTCCCCCGGCCCCTGAGGCCTCTTGTTTTTCACTAAAGATGCCCAAACAGATTCTCTGTCTAGTTTGTCTGTGTGTTACGAGAGGGGGTGGCAGGGGATAATTATGACAAGTATCAGTTATCCTGAGCTTTAGTAAGACTTGCCTGTTCTAGGATCAAGAACAGCTAAATAAGGATACGTCGTCACATGGTAAAACTGGATGAAGCGATCTCCCTCATTGCTGTCTCTGTAAACCTAAGAAAAGAATAGATTTTGGTAGTTAGTAAATAATTTTTCACCAAATCAATTACTCAACATCAAGTTTAACTTAATTCAAGTATTACAGAGCACTGATTGTAAACTCTTTGATACATCTTTCCTATAAAAATTTGGGAAACTGAGGATGTCTCCTTGTAAAGAAATAGCTGCCCTTTAAGTATACACTTGTGTGCATTGTATAGCCAACATTTGGGAGAATTCACAATCAGATCTAAAAAAGGTAAATTTAACTGAGTTGATGTTACCTGCCAAAGAACAAAGCGTTCCTTGATAATATTTCTCACTGCCTCATTACTCCACACGTCTCTGTTTAACTGTTGACAAGAGAATTCTCTCACATCCTGGACATTCACTAACAGCCACTTGCTGTGATGCTGGCCATCAACCTTAGCCTATGATATACGTGACAAAAAGAAATGTGAAAAAAAAAAAAATGGAGAAATGATCCTAACATTTTTCATTTTTCCTTAAAGAATCATTCATTTCCATTGCTTTTGGTAATGGTGATAAAATCAGATTTTACTTTTAACCCTTTTAACTCCCATAAGTGATTAAGACAGAATTTCTCCTTAAAAGATCGATACAATATCAAACAGACAAGTGATGAGAACAAAGAAAATATCAATTAGAGGATTACCGTAATTTCTGGCCATTTACCTGTGGGTAATCTGTTGATTTTTCCGTAAACTCACGCCACTGCGGTTAATAGGGAGGTGCGGGTCATGTGACAATTTGAAATCTACTGGCAGTTGAATTGAAGAAAATTCTCACCTACCTGCATTTCAACCTCTCAGATGAATTTTGTGAAGGTGTAGTCTCATCGTCCGGGGGAGTGTAGTCCTCAGAAGGACTGTTGTCGGTGGTAGTGACTGACGTTTCGACAACCTGTGCGGAAGTCATCATCAGAGTCAAGAGTCATCATCAGAGTCACTTGACTCTGATGATGACTTCCGCACAGTTTGTCGAAATGTCAGTTACTACCACCGACAACAGTCCTTCTCAGGACTACACTCACCCGAACGATTAGACTACACCTTCACATGTTACCCCCGGGTTCGAGCCATTTACTGCATTACAGATGAATTTTATTGTATTAAGAGTGCCACAGAGGGGCACGAAAACATGATGCCGACTCAAGTTTATTTCACGCACAATTAGTTGCACGATGAACAAATTACTATCGGCATGCATGTAAACAAAACCTTGATGGTGACAAAATTAAAGTGAAGATAAACGGCAAATCAGTAATAAATTTCCAGTTAACACTAGCTTCAGCTGAAGAGAATTGTCCCGTTTTAAGGGACTTGTTAGGCCCAGTAGAACCGGAGATATTGATTTTTTTGAGAAATCAATATGGCACTGAACGATCATTTGCACAAAATGTGGCCACAAATTCACGTTCTGTCAAGTATGCAATGTTGCGAATTCTAGGGCAAATTTGTACAGATTTCCTTTCCCTTTAAGGTGCAGGTTATCCACCAGTGCAGGTAATCTGTTGACATTTTTTTTCGCTGCATGCAATAATCACGTGGTGTGGGTAATCGGCCGGTGCGGGTAATCCGCTGGTGCGGGTACTCGGCCGTGCGGTTAAACGGCCGGAAATTACAGTATGAGTTGATCTAGTACCAATTTCTCCTAACTAACATCATAAGAATTGTATAGCAGACAGTAAGGAGAATTAATTATGAGATCTTTGGAGTGGTAAAAGGGTTTACTGAAAAGTGGAAGTATGTGAAATCATCAAAACATGAATCTCATTTGAAGTTGGAACGCCTGTGGCGTGTTTTAGATCAGGACATTTATTCAACTTGTGCAGAATCTGTAAGCACTAAAGATAACTTCTTGGAAATAAAGGAAAATGGAAAAAAATGTAAAAAAATGCTGGGTTAACCTGAAAATAGCACTAAAAAAAAAAAAACAAAAACACTTACAGTCTCAAATGTTCCTTTGTGTAACAGATCAATTGGTGGGCGGAATAAATCATGTAGTGTCTTCTTCTTTCCTGTCATAACAGAGGAAGTGCTGGCACCTTGTTGTCCTATACATATGACAATAGAGACCCAATATTAGAGCTATTAAAAATAAATAAAAATATCAACCCAGTATTTGTGCTATTACAGAAGAATTAAATTAGGAAAAAAAGTGCTAAGTTGTCTTAGTGAAGGGAGACCCTAAGAATATCAAGAAAAAGTCTGTTCGGGTTTAGTAGAATAGATGACATATTAAAACTAAACATTCATTGTCGCCAGGTGCTTACTTGCTTCAGCTTGAAAATCTCGGAATGCATCAAACACTGATTTTGCCTGTCGTTTTCTGGTTGGATATGCTGGAAAAAAAAAAAAACAGTCAAGAGAAATATAAATTGATGATTTATTTAAAAAAAAAAAAAAATATGATCGTGCATTAGGTACCAGCTCTGATATTAGGTCAATGGGCTCACCATCCTGATTGAAGGAATGGTTGACATTTAACTTTCAATACTATACCTATAAAATATTCCACAAACAGGTGATTAGAATTGACATATATACATATTTTAAGGATGTATTGAAGGTAAAACACCAAATTCTCCTAACCCTCTACACACTAGCACCTGCATGGATACATTATCTAAGATGCTGCAAGGAGAATTTGTTAACAATCAAGAGCTTCATCAGTTGTTGATCATTTCCTTAATTCTCATGACATTAATGAGTGACTCAGGGGTGATATTGTAAGGAGAAATTAGATGTTAGTCACTCTTTGAGGTCAAAGGGTTAATTAATTTTCAACAAAATGTATGGTGGCTAGAAGGGAGAGTTTAGAGGTTTATGTCTTTTCATTATTTCAAAAGTCATACCTTGAAATGGTTCCACTAAAATACCACGGGTCTGGGGAATAGGAGCTCGTACATCATCAACATTTCTGATAAAATAATAATAATAATAATAAAACAAAAAATGAATACAAAAACAAAAAACGAATTTAAATGTCTTGAGTTATAAAAAAGGACATTTATAATAATCAACCGTTTATTGACTGTAATTTTACTTTGATGGCAACAGCTGGTGCCCATGTTTTGAAGCACATCATAAAACTAATTTAATCGCATAGAACAAAATATTTGCAATGGTTTATCTGTTTAATGACATTAAATTGCTAAAACATGTAACGTTTAATTGTTTTTTCTTTAAAGAAAAATGACCAGCGTGATCACTTCAAGCGAGTGATTTGACACTAACAGTGTGTTGTTGTATTCAGGTGAAAACTTAGCAAAAATAATTGAGATGAGAATATCGGGCAATTTTTATTTTACTGAGTAATCCTTGAACTGTGAGGTTGCTAAGCTTGTAAAACAGCAATTCTAAATAAGTCGAATTGACTGTGGGGCAATTTTTTTTCAGTTCTGGAAAAATTCTTGATAAATTTTCACGAGAAACTGCTAGGGTACATATAATTGGAACATCAAAGACAATATTTGATAAAAATATTTCAAATCACAACTTACTGATTAGAAGTATTTGAAGACCCAGCTGCCAAATTTGATCTCGTCGCGGAAGAACTGGCACCCGAGACTTCTGATTCGGGAACTTCGCACGAATCCAAGTGCATTTCGATTGCCATTTCCAAGTTTCCATTACAGGCTTCCAGCATTGATCTTGCTATCTCTTTAGAGGCGCCTGTAACATTGACAAACTGTTCTATGACACGCGAGGTCACTTTCGTTCCAGCCGCCATCTTGAACAGTCCATCTAGTGATCAGCCGAGCGCGGGAAACTTGTTCCACTGGGGTCCGGTGAAATTGAAATTGTCTTCACGTTTCTTTATCTTTCGCCAAAATTTCCCTAGAAAATGAACAAGTTAGTTATAGGTAAAACGTCTAACCATAAAAGTCAGCCTGTAACAGCTTTTATTAAAAGTGTTCTAAGAGGCGTTTAGAATTTTAAACGTCACAAATTAATTGATATTAAGAATGGCTACCTTTCCCTACCCGTGTCAAGAGAGGAATTTGTTTTTTGAAATGCAAAACCGAGGAGGTCTGAGGAGAAAGTTTCGCGTCTTTTCAAGCTGAGCTATTTGCTATTGAACTTTGCATAGTTTCGGTGTAAAAACGTCTCCGGGGGAAACATTGATTTATCTGAAATTAACCGTGATTGAGCATATATTAGTGAGGAAATGTGATCGTATGAATTTTATTTCGCTACCCATCTCAACTTGTCGTTATTATTAACTTTTTCACGGTTGCCTCGCGGGGAATTTGAAAATATGCCAACTTGTGTTTGGTTGTTTGATGATCAGTCAATATTATGGTCAGATAATTTCGTGCGTTATACTTCATGGCTAGAATTTGACGCTATCTGACCACGATCTTCTGTTTTTCCTGTAAAATATGGCAGAAGGTAAGTTAAGCGTTAGAACTCGAGTAGTCTTAGAATACTTATTCAAGAAGCACCGATACTTTAAAATTTGCATCCCAGATACGTACATAGATACAAACAGAAGTCAATGACCTAGGTCATAAGCTTCCTATACAAACTAATACAGTAAGCTAATTAATCTTTAAAATGTCCGAAGGAACTCGTTAAGCTAATTGCTTTTTCGTCATTACAAAAACGCTCGTTCCTCTCGTTTTTCCTTAAGATACAACTATATATTTACAGTCCATAGCAGATTAATATCAATAGAGAATCTTTAGGACGAGTTACAAAGTTTCTATCGTTTGTTGCACAATTTTCCGTGAACTTCAAAAAAGAAACCTTTTGCAGTGTAGAGGAACAAAGTTAATTTTGCAACTCTGTGTCCCTAGGGCTAAAAATTATCGCTACTGCGACATGCATATTTCCATAAATACATCACCAGTGACAACTCACGAAATATCATACAGGTCTATGCATGTCGTCCAGTGGTGATTTTTTAAAACTGTACGCAATACAATTTTTAGGAATGAATTTTTCGTTTGGAAGGCGACAGGAAAAGATTGACTGGAGGCGACTTGGTAGGAGACAATGACAACCTGTCATGATATTTTTTTGTTTAAAATGCTAATACTACGTACAATACTAGTTTGGCAAATAGCTTAATATATGAAGTGTTTCTGTGATGAATAGGTTATTGTTGAGTGTTTTTTTTTTTGTATTTAAAAATATTGTTATCAATACAAACATGACAAAAAAGGTGAATTTTTACTAAACATTTGGTAACTTATCAGTAACCTGGTATCATTTTGCAATATATTTTGAAAATATCTGGACTTTCATTAGGGTTGAAACTGATGGATTTGTCCTCTAGCTAAATTGTTTAATGTAAGCATGTTGATTATTCAGTATTCTTATCTGTGGACAATCCTGTATTTTTTTCAGCATCTGTGGATGTTGATAGGATCCTGAGGGAGATGGATGTGAAAACATTACAAGATAACATAATGCATGTCACATTCAGCAACATTGAGGCAGAGCTAGTGAGTGTATTCAGTGGCAGAAAATTCATAATCCAACTTAATTAAAGTTTATTTAGGACTAAAGAATATGGAGTCAGTTTAATATACATTTCTAAAGGTGGCAAAATGGCCATAACTGCTACTGACTGCTTTCATTGACTGAAGTGTCAAACTGTTGTGCTGAATCTTTCCCCATCTGGCCCTTCTACCCATTCTAGAAGCACAAAATAGTTTTTGAAGAATTTGATCCATTGATTTTACTTTTCATATCTCATAGGGAATGCAGGCTATTGGTTTTGATCCAAATTATATCAAGTTGTTTCGATTGGCACAGCTTATAATCGAGTACCTTTTGGTGAGTTACATCACAACTTTTGTTTCTTGTCATTAGCTCTTCTTCGCTTCATTTATTTCTCTCCCAGTGTATAAGTAACCAATTTATTTTCATGTCAGCATTCTCAGCAGTTTCTTTCGGCAAATCTTGAGGCAGAGAACAAGACACTCCAGGAATCTTTGGAGGTAATATAACTTACTTGTATCCACACATTAAGGCGTAATGTTTGGAGCTGGCATTAATAGACTCAATTTACAGTCTCTAAATACTAGCCAAGACTTGGTGCATACAGAATTAATCTTGGCCAAAATGTTGGCCAACACACTACCAATGCACCACTGACACACTAACAATGCATGAACTGACACAGTACAGATGCATTGGTAAGATTGACTAACGCTTTGGTGGACACACTACCAATGTGTTGGTAAGATTGACCATTTTGTCCATGATTGCCAGTTTAATTTGATGTCTTAATCAAGCTCTGAGCAAGATAGCTCTATTTATTCAACTCTTATAATGAACAAGGAACATGCATGTGCATACCTTCATCTGTTTATTGTTTGTATCCAAACTTTAATAATCATACCCTAAATTTCATATCCTTTTTTGGACTCAGATTATGACTTCAAGATAGGTGTCCACTTGAAGGTTACCCATTTGCCCTCTAAGAGTGACCAGCATCTAATTTCTCCTTACAATATCACCCCTGAATCAAACATTAAGGTCAGGAGAATACAGGAAATGATCACTAACTAAAGAATCTCTTGATTGTTAAACAAATTCTCCTAGTCTGCACCCTAAGAAATGTAAAGAGAACAGTATGGAGAATATACACACTGATGTTAGGGTCCTTTTCCTTGACATATTGACCAGTAAGATTCCAATTTCCCCTTATGACACCATTGCATTTTTTGGAAGAAAGATGATGAGAAAAAAGGAAAATAACAAATAATGGTTTCTGTCTGATATTAATTAACACCAAATTCTCAGGACTAAAATTAGAAGGATTTATGGCAGACAATGTTGAGAATTGATTTGTGGATCTTGGCTGTGATAGGGTGAAATCATTAACCATTGTAAATATGCTAATTTTCAAGAGGGAATGATTCTGTAAAAATCTTATGAGCACTTTTTCTTTCAATATAGACAACAGAGAAAGTCAAGAAAGAACTAGATGTGAAGAAGGAAGCTTACAAAAAGCTCAAGAAAGAATGCCAGAAACAAAAGCAGTGGATTGCAGAATACCAACTTCTGATCAGGGCTGGAGCCAGTGGTTCACACAAGGTAGTAATCAGTAGGTTTTCTTCCACTTTGCTGTGAAAATTAATGAAGGTCTTTTTTTAGTTATTTGGAATGAGTGTTTGGATTTTCAATAATTGCATCATTTTTTTTTTTTTTTTGCAGTGCCCATATTGTGCTAAGTCATTTGTCAGCCATGAGTATGTCATAGCGCACCTCAGTAGACGGCATGGTGAACACACAAGTCAAGTCAATGGGATGGTGATTTCCACAGTGTCACCCATGAAATCTGTTGGTGCTGTAACTATGGAAACAAAACCTGGCATGACAGAAAAGGAGAAAAATGATTTAGAGGAAGAATTGCAAATGATCAAATTACGGCTGCAAAAAACAGAGCATGAACTGCAAGAGGAGAAGAAATTAACACAGTCACAGGTAGGTGTAAAAGGTTATAGCAACTGGGTATTCTGTGCTTTGTTTCCAGGAGGCTGTGTCAGCAAACATTGCATTATCGATTTTGAATTTTAGAGTGGGAATTGTTGAGCTGAGTTTTCTAGCAGGACTGTTGGGATTTATGCTTTCACCAGGTTAAAATTGTCTCTTTTTTTTAGCAGAGAGATAAATTGACAACAGAAAATCACAACATGGATGAACTTAGAGCAATGTTTGATCAATGGAAAGCTGGAGAAAAGGCTGAACAACAGGTCTGATACTTTCTGTAACCTTGAACTGAACTCCTGAGAGTGTATTCACACATTTCCCTTACAGTTGCTTTAGATTTCCTGGTTACTTTTCTGTAGAGAATTTGATCAAAATGATAACAACCTTTAGTTGATAGATTTGTTAATTCTCATCACCTGCTAGCTGGCTGTCTGATTTATTAAAAATATAAGGAGAGGTTACAGTGTATATTTTAATCAGTTGTGAGTTACACAGAGGCAACTTTTTTAAAATAATTTTATTTGATGCATTTTGTGTTATTTCAGTTGATTGGACTTACTTTTGAACTCATCTGTAATTTTTTAACTAAAAGGAAACTCTGGATTTCACATTCAAACTCTACCTCATGTCTAAAGGCTGATAC